TTCCTGTCCAGGCAGGGGGTTGGACTCGATGATCTGTTGAGGTCCCTTCCAACCCCAGCATCTATGAATCTATGAATAGCCCTTGACTAAAGAAGTGGTCTTGCTGTCAGGAAAAAAAATCTGTCATGGGTCACCCCAAATGACATGTTGGTGCCACCAGACAACTAACCTGAAGACACTTGAAGACACCTGACTGATCTGAAGCTTTGGCTTTCTGTTATAGGAAAGGTCACTTTATTATGTGCCCAGTACTTAAATAAGGATCTTGGGGTATAACTGAATGCCAGTAACCAAATCTGTCTTTGGTTGTCTCAGCTGACACGTCAGTGAGACCAGGGGGCTCTCCTGGAGAAGTTGGGACTTGGAGGGCCCTGACAGCCCCAAAGCTTTGTTTTTAAGTGCCCCCAGCTCATTCCCATGGATTCATTCTGCAGTTCCTCACCAAAACGCTACCAGTGGCAAAATCTGTTGCAGAGACACATAGTTAGCTGTATTAGCCTGAAGCCAGGGTAGATTTGTACCTGATAGACTAACTTAGAGAATTAGCACAACTTTTCATGAGTATTAGATGTGAGAAGGCACACACTCCAATTTAGGTAGTTTAAGGTGAAAATCTGTTGCAGACCTGCTTGAATATCATATAATTGCAAGTAGGCAAAACTCTTGAACCTGGGACAGGACACTGCCTGACCTGAAGCTTTGTCTTTGAGTGGTGTGTGGCCAAATGCTGCCCCTCTGTTCAACTTTGTTCATAACTTTTTGAATAAGGGACAGGTGTTTGATGGTGTTGGTGACCAAATCTCTCTTGGGTTGCTGCAAGTGACACCTCGCTGTAGCTGAAACTTTCATGTAGTACTTGGCACATGGTGCTACCCAGTGTAACTGTTGATACATTTTTATAACCTGTTTCCACGTGATGCCTCAGCAGATCAGTTCCTATGTAGCGTGGCACCCGCAAGTCTGGTCCCAGAATCACTTTAAAGTCTGGCCCCTGACTGTGTCAAACAGACATGTTTACTTTTGTCTAAAAACACAAACAGTCCCTACAGAGATGGGTACCTCGCTATAATGAGCCTACCTATGAGCCTTTATAGCACAGTGAGGTATGCCACAGGATTTTTTAAACTCTTGGCAGATTTGTCTGTTATGCACAGATTGCAGGGTGCAGATTAGGCAAAAACTATTTTCCCAGACCTTCAGATAGGGGTGTAGGCAGGTGGCTGACAGCTTCTCCCTATAACATAATTCTTCTCGCGGAAACAAATGAAAGATCTCACCACTTGCAGTATCAGGTTTTGGCTTAGTAGTTAGTGTGTAAATCGGGGGTAGGCAACACGCAGCCCATGAGCTGGATCTGGCCCGCCAGGGGACTGGATCCAGTTTGCAGCTGCCCCTGCAGTGCTCTGCATGGGGCCAAGCCCTGCCCGCTCATGCTGGAGGTGGGGAGAGCAGGGCAGCACCCAGGTGGGCTGGACTGTGGGTGCGAGTAGAAGTGCAGCATGGACTGCCCTGGCAGAGCACTGTGGGGGCAACACAGACTGTACCACCCAGGCAAGTTCCACTGCATCCCCCCCCCTTCCTCCTTTACCCCTCACCTATAGCAGGCTCCTGGGGCCTAGTGCCCATGCAGCCCCTTTTTCCCCCCTACCATGTGCATGCATATATGCTTGCATGTGCCCTGGACCTGTCACTACACTGCGACTCAGCTCTGTGATCCCAGCCTCACCCACCTCTCCTGCTTCTGAACACTGCTTCCTGCCTGCCTGCAGCCCCACGGGGAGTTTTGGTGAAGGGGGAGGGAGGTGGTTGCTGGCCTGGCCTGCGACAGCTCATCTCATCGCGACTCCCCAGGTGGCCACTGGGCCAGAATAATTGCCCGTGCCTGGTATAAATGGATTGAATGACAGAGTCTCTGAGGCCACCAGTTGGACAGCCCTACACTTATTGGTACTAATGGTGTATGTAGAAGTGTGGAACAATTTATGGAACTTTGCCAGTGAAATCAGCTTGCTACAGCTGGAATATTTTGTGGGCTTTTGGGGGTTTTTCTTTTCCTCCACAAGGACATGGAGATGCATAAGTATCTGGGGAATGACTATGACTGTGAATCTCCAGATGGCATAACAAAAAATCAAATAGATCATCTTTCTATTTGTATTTATAGAAAGTTTCTTCATCCTTTTGCCATATTTGGGCAGGTGTGAGCATGACTACTATATGAGTGCTACTTCCATGCAAGTGAAATAGTTGAAAAAATGCTGGCAAAGCAAGCAACCAAGAAAATAATTTCCTTCAGACTTGCAGTCCCTCAAACAAGAATGGGGCTTGAAATTCAGATGACAAGTTTTCCAGCTGGACAGATTTGGGTTCTATCTATGAAGAAAAGTCTTGGAAGAGCATCAGTACAGCATATATCAATATGGCTGAGAATGTCCTGGGATTTTTCCAAAGGCAGAAAAGGGGATTTGGTCACTAAGACTATATGGGATCCCATCACGAGAAGAAAACAGGCAAAGTCGAATAGGCAAGAGGAAATTAGCAAACAGAAGAATAAAGAGAAATTGGTAAAGTGTTCAATAAGAACAGACAAATGAGCATGTATTGATTAGGGTTGGAGTGTTGTAGCTGTGATAGTCCAGGAACTGTTGGAGAGGCGAAGCAGCCCTCCAGGTGTGAGACCTGGAGTAGTCTCAGACCTGAAAAAAGTGATGCCTAAAAGTTGATCCAACAGCTCTCCCAACTATACAGTTGATCCAATTAAAAGATTTAAAAAAAAACATGTGCCTCTCAGCCATCTATTTATTGGCAGGCCTGGGAAGCAGAGGTGGCTATCAGAAAAAGGGGATAGGACTACTTTGTACAATACTGAAAAGGCTTGCAGGTGACTTTGCTCGCAGCTACAATGGAATAGAAATATTGAATATTTATTATAGTGTGTTATGTACTAACACAGTTCCTGGGGACTTCTGATATATTAGTTTACATACTTGCAATCCCTTTGGATAAAGAACTGCAGACCAAGAGCCAGCTTCACCTTTGCCCTTCCTCTACTAATGAGACCTTAGCTGTTTGGTTTGGAACATATGGACAGCCATAAAAGAAAAAATGAAGGCAAAGGGGTTACCTCTGCTAACCTCTCTGCTCCACAAATAATATCGGTTCTCTTCCTTTTGGAATGGTCTTATTCTTCTACACAATTAGGTTTATTTTATTTCAACTATTCTTTACCCAATCTGTAACTACTTCTTTTAAACTTCTTTCTTCCACTGGTTTCCTGCTTCCCTTGTTAACCATTTTTACTTTCCATAATTGTTTTAAACAAGAAATTGTTTTACCTGATATTTAGCTTGGGTTGTGTCCGTTTCTTTCCCAGACTTGAGGAAGGCATGATGCCAGAAAGCTTGTCTAACTATGTATAGCAAGGCCATTAAAAGATACTGCCAAAAAACTTTTGCTTCGGGTATATTCCCTGGACCATCTTGGTTACTAGGGAACTATTACTACTATTTTAGTAGCAGAGCTCTCCCTTTTACCTTGAATGATCCTTTAGCTCCCCCTGCTGGCTCAGCAGCCACAATCTTTCCAGAATTCAATTATTACAAAACTATCGATTCAACAGGTAACTGTTAGGCCTGTGCAAAGTGGGAAGTATTCGCTTCAGATTCGGCCGATTCAGAGACTTGAATCACTGTCCCAGTTTGATTTGGCTGAATCGGATCCAAAGATTCAGTGCTGCTTTGGAGATTTGGCCATAGACTAAACAGGCAGCAGTCCTCAAGGACTCTGGACACAGCTGCCTCCAGCTGGTAAGTCTGGTGTGGTGATGGAAGGGGGGAGGGAAGGAACATGGAGGGGGCAGATCAATGCCCCCACATTGAGGGAGCAGCTGGGGCTGGGACAAGCTGCCCAGCTGGGGCAGAGGGGTGTGGGACTCAGGGAGCGGGGCGGGAGGGCTTGGGATGTGGGTGCGGCAGCACTGGGAGCAGGGGCTATGACCTGCTGCTGACCCAGTTTAGGGGGACACGATGCAGGCACAGCTTGCTCCAGGTGGAAGGGGGCAAGTGGCAACAGGGCATAGCTCCTGCTCCAGGCTGCCATGCCTGCATGCCATGCCCCTGGCTGAGCAAGTGGCAGCAGGGTAGAGCCCCCACTCTCAGTGATGCAGTGCCTACATCTGTTGCCCTCGTCCCCCCCTGCCCTGGCTGGGCAAGCAGCAGCAGGGCATAGCCCCTGCTCCCAGTGCTGCCATGCCCACAGCTTGCCCCTGCCCCGGCTGAGCAGCTTGCCCCAGCCCCAACCCCTCCCTTGCTGTGGGGGCGTTGATCTGCCTCCCCGCACCCATTTCCTCCTCCTCCCACCCACCACAACAGGCTTACCAACTGGAGGCAGCTGTGTCCTGCTTCCTCAAGGTGAACAAGGCTGTGCACCTTAAACCTTGCTGCTTTCATTCTCCAAGCAGGAAAAGCTGGCTTTCATGGCAATGTTCTGTCAAAGCCATTTTATAATAGATAAGCTGTTTCAAGCCAAAGGAGAACCTGAAGTCATTCTACTTCTAAAGCGTTTTGTATAGAGCCTCTAAAAAATAAAACAATACGTTGGATCTAAACTATATGAATGTCCATTTAAGAAATGGAAACATGCTGTGGTTTAGAAGGCAGGGCTTAATGTCTTTTCTTTTGCTAACAGATACTGGGCAAACTTGAAACTTTGGTTTAAGCAAAAGATCAGCAAAGAAGAGTTTGACCTAGAAGCTCGCAGACTTCTTACACAAGATAATGGTGAGACACCATCTTTAAAGAGTTTTTGGTTTTGCCTGTGTCTCTCCCATATTCCTGAAAATACCAAGTTTGGGGTTAGCTTCTACTTCTTGTAGAGCAATGTAATCATGCAAATACCATTGTATTGAAACCCGTGACACTTGGTCTTAAAGCATGTCAATCTTCAGGAGATTAAATTGCATGCTACAGGAGTGACAAAGGTGCTACCAATGATTTAGCCCCTTTAGTGTCAAGAAGTTTAATTAGATGAGAAATACCTACAGTAGGAGACCTAGCTTCCTTGCTGAGAGGGTGGTGGACATCTCTTAAAGTCCTGGCCAATCTGGTTTGAGGTAAGCTTCTTCCTGACCCCAAATTTGGAAGTCAGTTAAACACTGAGCCACATATACCAGTTGGGCCTCAGGAGAATAAATATTCTCTGTACGTTGTTGTTAGAGCTGTCCCTAGGGGGGTGAATTGGGGTGACTGCCCTGGGTCCTATGCTTTGGGGGGCCCTGTGGAGCCGGGCGGAGCAGCTGTAGTGACTCTGCTGCCACCAGCTTCACATCTGGCTGCTTGGCGGCACCCCCCTTCCTCCCCCTCCCCTCTCACCCCCTGCTGCCGAATCCACTGGCCTCCTCATGTCTGGGGGCAGGGCCCCATATGGGCTGATTTGCCTGGGCCCCTGTTCAGGTTGTCTCTGGTTGGTGGAGTACAGGGCCATACAGTCTAGTGTCTTATCTTCAGCTACAGCCAATCATTGATACTGCAGAGGAAGGGAGGGCAGAAGAACACAGAACACACAGGGTTTTTTTTTCCATATAGAAGGACACTTGCAGTGACCAAGTTACCTCTTTAATAAATTGGTTTCCTTAATCTTAATTTCATACATCAGATGGAAAAGATTCCTAGAAGATACAAACTGACCAGCCATATAAATGCATGATGGAAACATGTCCAGGGCGGGGTGGGGAGGTTAAACATAAACACTGTTAGAGTACCTTTGAGTGGTTGCCTTTAGATTCTGCTAGCCATGTTGTCATTATAGACATCTGTCTTCAAGGAAACCTTCTTGCTCATAGCTTATCTGTCTCTTCACAGTCCATTCTCACAATGACTTCCTCTTGGCTATTCTGACCCGATGCCAAATCATGGTTTCTGCACCAGGTAAGTAAGCTGTTTTGTTTCTTTGTTTTGAGTCCTACATTAAGACTTTGCATGTCTTATGGTGGGTTTTATTCTTGACTTGCATACTTAGGTTTCATTTTAAATGGCAGTTCCCTGGAGTAGGTGCTACCTCTTATGTGCTTCATGTTGTATAATGCAGTGTGAATCTTGACTCCAGCCTCTAACTACAGCTACAATATAAATACTTATAATATGAAGTATATTAAGTCCTTATTTTGTAATACAAATTGACCAGAGACTAGTGCCCTGCATAGCTGTACAGAAGTCCCTGGTTTGATTCTTGTCTAGTTCCTGGAGCTGCAAGGGTGCATGGTCTGTGCCCCGGGAGGAGTGAAGGGACACTGCCCTATTCTTTAGTGATCTGTTTTGCAGGCTGCAATAAAAATGATCAGCTGCAAAAGGAATCTGAAAAAGATGAGGCGTTAATAGGTGATATCCCTAGGAAGTGGACTGTCCTTGCCTGCTTCCAGAGTACAGAATGTATTTTACTCTTGTGTCTATGTGTAAGCCTTACTTTAAAAGCTGCCAGAGAGTTTGTGACGTCTAGCAGCTGACTCCCTACAGCTGCTTCACATCTGGTGTTGGGTTTGGTGAAGTGCAACTATGCAATGTGCTGATGCAAACAGATCTCTTGGAAGGAAAAACAACGTTTTGAGTGAAGGATATTCATTAGCATATGTATCCATTAGAATATGTATTTGAAACTGCTGCATATTTCAAGGATAAGTATGTTTCTTAAGAACTGTGTGCTTGCTTGTGCTGGCCTCACAACACATGAGTGTGGCTAGCCAAACTCTGCACCCAATATCTTCAGCTTCTCAGTCTTTTTTTTTTTTTTCTCAGCAGTGACTAGAACTAATACAGTGCATCTAGACTAAAACTGGCCAAACCTTACCTTGCTATCCCTTCAGAAAGGTATTTAGGGTACTGATGAGGGATTCTAAAATCCATTCCCAATTGTAACAAGGATGCCCTGTGACAGTAGGTCTCTCTTGCTCAGACCTTAGGGGAAAAACTCAGCTCTTTTTTAGGCAACTAAATGAATGGCAGGCTTTTAAAGAGTGATTGCTCTGCTCCCTCAGAGAACAGAGGGAAATGCTGAGTACTCTTTTTTTGCAAGCCTGATCCTTAAGTTATCCAACTGATAACAAGCACCAAGAAAGTACTTGATCTTCAGTGCATTGGGAGAACTCATTTATACATACTTAGGAGGCATTTGTGTACTACAGTAATTGAAATTGTTGATGTTCACAGATGGGCAAAGCCTCAGAAATGCAGTGTTTTGTGGTTATTTTTTCGAAATAAATGACAGAAACCTTAGAGCTGGTCAGACTGGTTTATGGGTGAGTCTCAATAGATCAATAAGGGTATCGGACTTTAGGAAATTAGTTTGTCCATTTGTTTTGAGGAAGATTTTTTTTCCAAATCTGTTTGCCTCTCCTTTTTAGCTTTTGTGTACCTATGTACTCTCCTACTGGGTGTAAGTTTCTTTTTGTTTGCTTGTTTAGAGACTCCCTAGACAACCTTGGCAATCAAGGCCATGCAAGGCTTTCTATCATTTTATCTTCCATCCTCTGCCTCTAATTCCTGTCTCTTCTAGTAATCTTGCCCCAACCAAGACATGATAGTATAGATAGACTTAGCATGGAGTCTGGGCAACAGTAGCATCTTTATCCTATTGGAATTTCTCCAGGCTTTGGCTTTAAGGCTTGCAAATCTGATAGCTGGGCACAGGTTGACCATGTCTCACTTGCCTCCAAAGGAGGATGAACAAATGAGCAGAGGAAAAGCATCAGAGAGAGAACAGGGATAAAATAAACTGGAAACAGAAGAGCATGATCACAGAAATTCTTCTAAACACTTTTCCCACTCTGTCTTCATCAAAAAAAATAAAATACTAAAATTAAAAAAAAAACCCCAACAGATTTAGTATATAGTTGGGTCTCTGTAACAAGGCTGCAGACTTGCAGCCTGGAGCAATTAGCCAGCCAGTAACAGGCCACCTCTGCTCTGTGGTGTGGGTTAACCCAGGGCTTGAAGCTTGTATTGGACTGTTTATATTTTCTACTGAGTTCTGTGGTGCAGAAGAGACCAGGGCATTATCACCTGTGTTATGAAGCCCAGAGAAAGACTATAGGAGTTAGTCCAAGGACTGATCTGAACTTGGTGGTGCCAGGCTAGCCAGGTGACCTTCTATAGTCCCCTTGTAACTTCTCCTCAGATTTCTTTCTGTTAGTACTTTTTTGCTTCCTAGACCAGGGACAGGCAATTATTTTGGGCGGAGAGCCACTTACTGAGTTTTGGCAAGCCATCAAGGGCCACATGATAGGCAGCCAGGTGCATATAAATATTAATTTTCTAAATTCTTTAGGGGCCCTGTGGGTCAGATAGAATGGCCTGCCAGGCCGCATTTTGCCCACCCCTGCTCTAGACCTTGGCTAATGTAGTTTATGCTGAAGGAAGTGGTGACTAAGACTCTTCATTTCTGCTAATAAAAGAATTGGAAGCCTTAAGAGAAGCAGTGCTGTCCTTGCTAAACTTGCTCCAGTTTGGGAGGATTGACTGCAATGAATCATGCTTTTCCTGGCAAGAAATGCTAAAATCTCTTGAATGCACCAAACCTTTGTACTCTTGTTTGGGATAACATAACACTACTTATATAAAGGAAGACAAATGTTGGCCTGCTCAGGATTTGGGGAGGGAAATGATGCATTTCCCTTCCACCCTCCAGTACTGCTGCAAATGTACTATAAACTTAGAAAGGTGCCAAGAAGTAGTTCTGCTGCATGCGCCTTTGTAAAGAGTGAGTGCGTCAGCTTGCTCTTCTGGCTTAGCCTACTTTAGCCACCCTTCAGTTGTGAAGAAATCCGAAAAGATAAGGTAACTAGAAGTCTATTCCAGCCTTTTCTACTTTGTCTCAAAGATGTCCTCAGTAAAAAAATCAAAACTGAATTTTACATTGGCAAGATCCCCACTCCCTCCTCATAGCAGTGCAGTACTTGTAACTGTTTCAGAATTATAACCCAGACCATTTCTCTAACCTTCCCAGGAGACATCTGAAATCAATTTTCAGATACAGCCTTTAAAATCTAATGGATAATTCGCAAGGCCCCTTTCTTCATACTCTTCATAAAAAAGAAGGGTAATAATACTAGTAGACAAACCTGCAGGGAGAATTCCCTCAGTTAAATAATTTGGCTAAAAATAGGAAGCTGTCTATGTATTTGGCCAGAGCTGAGAAAGGACTTCCTTTCTCGTGTTCTTGTGACAAGGTATTTAGCAGAATTTGCAGATTTTGTTGGAATCTGACAGTCCATGCCACAAGTGCTTCGGATTTCTTTACAGCTGAAGGGTGGTCTCAATCTTGTGACCTCTGGGCTGTCATCCAGGCATCTTAGCGCCCATACCACCCAGTCCCTTGAAAAAGGGCTGAGCACTTAAAATGGATCTTGGGCAGATTTTTAGGTGTCAAAGTCCTGTTCAACAGCATCCTACCCTGGATGTGCCTAAACCTCAACAATCTTCTCCCTGCTTAGCCATCAAGTTTCCCAGAGCCCTGAAGTGGTAGTTGTGTGTGCCCTGACCTGAATAGCCTCAGTGGTTTTGTTGTTTTTGTATGCAGCTAGGTCTGGCTGGTGGACACCTCCTGCAATAGCTTGGGTGTGCCTGTGGTCAGGTAACAGGAGAATTGGGTTCAATGCCCTTTTCAGCCTAAAGGGAGTTCAAAACCACATCTCCCAACTATGATGGCAGTATTGTCACTACTGACTTCCTGGCCCCAAACCTTTGCAGAAAGCAGTGTGAGGTTAGTGGGATAGGAAGATAAAGCACAAAAGGGAATATGCCTCTCTAGCTTAGTGATTATGGCATTCAGCTGGGAGGGGGAGTCCTGGCTTCCTGTTCCTAAAACTATTTCTGTTCAATATAAAAGGCACGGACCATCCCTGTAGCAGGGTCTAGATTCTCCCTGTGTACCACATAGGGAGGTGAGCTACTGCACTTGGGGTTTTGGATCCCATTCCTAGGATCCGACTCCTAGAAGTTAGGCATTACAGTGCCTAAGAGTTTTACTGCATCTAGCCCATTGCCTATACATTGTCCTAGGATAGAATCTTGGTTGGGAGTTTGATGTCTTTGATTTGTATTAATATTTCAGTTTCCTTAATGGAAGCTGGTTGCTGTTTTGAGAAAGGGCAACAATAAGTTTGTCCAAACCTGTGGCTCTCAACCCTTCTGAACTGAGGCACCCCTCCATGACTTTTGGGAATTGAGTAACACCCAGTTACAAAAACTAATTTGTATATTATGGTGCTTATCTCCTTGCAGAGGAGCAAGGCATTGTGGGATCATTTGAGCAGGGACATGCCTGAGTCTGTTATCTATTTAGTTAATCTGCTTATTTCTTCCTCCTTTGCTTATCTGCTCACAGCTTATGGCATCCTTCAAAGGATCTGGTAGCACCCTAGGTATCCTGGCACCCTGGTTGAGAACCAGCGGTCTAACATGATGGCAGAGTGTTAGTGGTTGGGATGTCACTGTAAAGAGAGGTTGGGGGTAGGGGAACACTCTCCCCAGTATCTTTAGGGATAAGAATGTTGATATTTACATGATCTTTACCATAACACACAGTTGCCAACTTCCAAAAGAAAAACTGTCTTCCTGGTGGCAGTTAAGTTCAAATTTTTGCCTAAGGCCCCTTTTGGCTACCAGCCTTCTCTTTACATTGCTTTCTAATTAATTTTGCAATAAAATATGGCTTTCTAACAGCCCTGGCCATATCTTGAAGTTGTTCTTTATAAATGAAGCACTTCAGAGCACATCTGATTTTTCTCATCACTTGCAGGATAAAAATAAAAGGGATTCATGGCAGTCGTCACTTGACTTCTCCCTCAGGTCAGACAGGCCACCTGGAGCTTCAGCCCCAAATAACACGAAACAAATCCCCCTTGGAGATCCTCCTAAATAGCCAAATCATTCAGTAATATAAGGGTCAATAAATACTATACAGACCTGTATGGCTTCTAGGGGTGCACCGATAGAGAATTTTTGGGCCGATACCAAAGGCTGACTTTTAACAAGGCATATTGGTCAATTCCAATATGCACCTGGGTAGCGTGAAGAGTGGCATCTTGCTGGTAAATCTGTTGTGGGAGAAGTGGCAAGGGGTAAGGGGGAAGGGAAGGGTCATGGAAGGGCAGATTGAGGCCCCACAGTGAGGAAGGATGTGGGGCTGGGGCAGGGGCAAGCACTGCATAGCTGGGGCAGAGCGGGGACGGAGCTGCAAGAGGCTTGTCTGGGGCGGGGGG